TCTTCAACAGCACAGGCAATCACACCTCTCTACAATCTGCGTCCTTCAACAGCACAGGCAATCACACCTCTCTACAATCTGTGTCCTTTAACAGCATGTATAAGGTTATGTGCTAGCACCTTTCCGAGCCGTGACAAAACGCTGTCAAGAACCTTCTGGCGCTGTTTTCCGTCTCTTTTTTCCACAGATCTTTCCAGTGGTCATGACATGTTCCAGCTGACCACAAATGATGACTGTCTCTTTCTGATGTTTGTGATAAAATGTCTACGATCCGGGTTGCTCTTTTTTGGCTGTATAAGTAATTCTAATACAAAGAGAAATAATTTTTTAAAAAAACAAAAAACTATACAAATTTACACAAAACCATGTTACAGATATTAAATCACATCACACCATTTTAATAAGAAAGCAGTATTTAAATATAATTCCCATGGAAGGGGACCAAAATGTTTGTAAAACTATGAAAATTCATACAGGCATATGCTACAGATTTAAAATTCAACTTTCTTAACAAAGAAGTATTCACACAGACACCAAAAAATTGTGTGCTGTCTCCAAAATAAAGGTTGACTACAGTATCCACTGCTTTGGGAACACTGTGTGGTGAGGTCCCAACCTCTTTCATGGTGCGAATCTCATGCTGTTGTCTGATAACCAGAAAGAAAGATTCTTGTGTGTGTGCGCGCTCACATGCAAGTGTGTGTGAGTGCCTGTGTGTGAACAAACCATCTGCCACAGACAGTGAACCCTAGCACTCAAGTGTCATGAAATTGTTAAACGCGTTCACTAGCCTCCAAGCCAGAGAGGGGTTCTCACAGAACAGAGACATAAATAATGTAAAACTGAACATTCAGACAGAACCATATTAGATATACTAAATCACATTAAATCATCCACTTAACCAAGCAGTATTCACACATAATTCACATAACTTCTGTAGTAAAATCACAACTTGTGTAACATCATGGTGAATAAAAATGACACCAAATAGGACACCCCCCCCCCCCCCCCCCCAACCAAGAAGAATTCATGAAAGAACAATGAATAAGTCTATGGCTGAGCTGAACTGAGTTGAGAACCGACATCACAGCACCTGGAAAATTCCCCTAAGCACTCTGTCCCTATCTTCAGCAGGCAGTTTAAGCTTTCAATTCTGATTGTGCCTTTCATCCTCTGTATCATCTTTTGTACAACCGTGAAAACTCAAATTAAAAAAAAAACTTATCTGTGGTTTTCATATCATCCTAACAATAGACGATTCAAACAAAGCAGTAAAATTTCACATTAAACAGTGCCACGACATATGTATATTTACAGAAATCATTGACATTTTCACATCAAATAGTTCATCAACACACTCAAAAACGAAAAATGTACTCACATTAGACAGTTCCCCACCACAGGAGTACTCAAACACATGACATTTTCACATCAAATAGTTCATCAACACTCTCAAAAACGAAAAATGTATTCACATTACACAGTTTCCTATCACAGCAGGAGTAATAAAAAAAAAACACGTGACATTTTCACATCAAATAGTTCCTCAACACATGAACATTCTCAAAAACCAGCTCTACTTTCACTTCATATAGTTCATAAATGCATCAGCACCCAAACAATCATGACACTTTCCAGATCAAACAATTCTTCATTACATGAATATTCATTCCAAAAAACAAATGAACTGAAAAAGTCATACAAACCAGTGATAGTTACAACAGAGACACTAAACAAAAACAAAACTTAAATAGTTCTCTATCACATGATCTTCATTCACATTAGTTGTGCAGTTACTGAGTACAATGAACTACCTCATTTAAAACAGAAAACCACAATTAAAACATACAACTCCTAAAAAAAACTCTACATACAGTTTCTTACCACTGCAATCAATAATCAAACAAGCCTACAACATAAGATCCTGAAGCCTTGTGAAACAAGCAAGACAAAAAAAGAAAAGGCCTGCGAGAGGCATGCAGCCCCATTAACTTAATGTGTGTGGCCTGTGACACGTCATATTTTTTTTAATGCTTCAATATTTATTTTTAATTATTTATGGTCACAAAATCCAGTGTATTTTTTTTTTAATTATGTGCGTCAGCAATTGTTGGCGTAGGTGCTGTTTATCAGATCTGGCTTATATTTATGCAAACTTTTGCTCCTCATATCTCAGGCAGATGCACTGTGTTTTCGAAGAAAACACCCCCAATTATTTCACTTTTATTACATGCTTGCTAAGGCGACAGTGGGTCTTTTCTTGTTCCCCAAAACGGGGTCTTGGATCCCACATGGGGATTTTTCTGTGTATAAATGAATTAGGTGAATTTATGGCAGTGTATATATGAGTGCATGCATCCTCCCTGTGGCTACATACGGATGTGAGTCGTGCCTGAACTATCTCCCAGTACTTAAGAAAGAGATTAGGGGGTTTTGAGCTGAAATACTATAGAAAGATTCTCAGAATATCTTGGATAAAGAAGAGGATAAATACTGACAGCTTGAAAGATCTGAACATCAAGGAAGATTGGCTAATAAACAGCATCCTGTTTCGAAAGCTGGAATATTTTGGTCATATCAAGCGGATTGGAAAAAATAATAGCAAAAAGCATGGTACAGGTCAGGAGGGGCAGGGGCCGACCAACAAGAAGATGGGCACAGGATATATGTGACTACTTAAGTAGGAAAGTGCATGCGGCGGAAGAGCTGGCGAGAGACCAAGTTTCTTTCAGGCAGACCGTGATGTAAGCGACATTCTGCAAAGGACCTGCTACATGATGATGTATATATGAGTTTGTATGAATTTAAGAATCTGTATATGTATGTAAGAGTGTGTGCATGTATGTAAGAGTGTATGTATGTATGTAGGCATGTGAGTGTATGTACGTATGTATATTTAAATGTAGTTATTATCCATCCATGCCTTTATGTTGTTTCATTTTGTATCCATGTTATGTATTTTGCTATAAACATATCATGCTTTACAAAAAATTGATTGTGTGAAAGATAAGTGTTGGAAGGGCGGAATGTAAGATGGGCCTGCGTGCCAAATTTATGATGCTCTAAAAATAAAGTTTGTTTGTTTGTTCATTTCTCAGACCCTGTTTTCTGTTTTGCCCTTCAGTGTCAGTTTTTTAAAATGCACTGTGAACGATCCTTGGTGAGGCGCAAGCTACAAACAGGATATCTCACATTTCACAGGGTTCTTGTGTGTGTGTGTGTGTGTGTAGGGGCGCGCGCACTCGCATATATGCGTCTGTGCATGTGAGTGCGTGCATGTGTGTGTGTGTGAATAAACCATATGCCACAGACAAAGCAAGACAAAAAAGAAAAGGCCTGCGAGAGGCCCCAGTAACCTAATGTGTGTGGCCTGTGACACAGAATATTGTTGAATGCTTTGATAATTATTTATAATTATTTATGATCACAATACCCAGTGTATTTTTTGTAAACTCATGTGCGTCAGAAATTGTTGGCTTAGGTGCTAAGTGACAACATATATAAATAATGTGGCCACAAGGAACTTTCTTGTTCGTCATCTTCTTCTTCTTCACTTCCATTTTTACCACTGCAAATGTAGAGGGAGATGAAGAATGCTGCTTCTCGCTCTTCTGGCTGCCTCAACCATGGACACATCGTACTGTTTTAGGGTTTCTCAGATGTTACCTTTCCATCTTGTTTGTGCGTTATGTTGTTGTCCCTTGTATACCTTTTATAGTACAATGAGGAACTCTGTCTGTTGCAAATTACTGAAAATATGAATCATGCCTTTGTGACAAACTCAGTGAAGGAAAACTGGATACCCTTTCCACTGAGGGTGAGCAAAGCACAAGGGTACAGGCATTGACAACAATAAAACAAATTCAGCTCAGTTGAATAAATATGCACAGCAAAATGTGAAGTCCACACCGAAAAGGAAATGAAAACAGGAAAGACAAAGAGAGACTCTGCGTAGAACCGTCATCAGGGAAAGCTCAACCATGGGCCTGACAAACATCTAAGAACTAAAGCAGGTGACAACGAACCACCAGACATGGAGAGCTATGGCCTCTGCCCTATGCGCCACCCTAGGCTCAAGAGGAAAGATTAACTAACTAAATTGAACACCTCATAATAGCAGTTAACTTCTTCCTCACAACCAGAAACTGCTAAGGTACAGATCACACGCCACAACAGTTTCTATAGGAGTCTTATCTTCTGCTGATCTCCTTTCCTGGCTGTACCTGAAGTTTCTATAGAAGTTGTCTTATCTTCTGCTGATCTCCTTTCCTGGCTGTACCTGAAGTTTCTATAGAAGTTGTCTTATCTTCTGCTGATCTCCTTTCCTGGCTGTACCTGAAGTTTCTATAGAAGTTGTCTTATCTTCTGCTGATCTCCTTTCCTGGCTGTACCTGAAGGTTTAACCACCCCTGGGTGTCTCATTCTGGGTGGCAAAAAAATTACAAGGCAAAACCCAGAAACCCTGCTCAACCTTTAAGGTTGTAAGAGTCGACTAACTGGGGGCTTCCTTCGAAGTCGGAGTACATCTGCCTGAGAGGCAAGCAAACAACAGTCTATATACGAATAAGCCAGATATTTAAAAATGGATGTGCACACTGCACTTAGGTTGCAGAACAAGACAAAAATCTGGAAGTGGATGAACAGCAAGAATTTGTCGCCGCCGAAGTTCACAGCAGGTGAACGCTAAGAAAGAAGACAGTCATGCTGTGTCTTTTAATGTGACCAAAATATTCCTGATGTTCCCCCCCCCCTTTTTTTTTTTTTAACTTGTTTCCAGAACTCTCTTTTAAACACAGTCTCTCCAGAACATCTGTATGTGACTTCTTTTTGTTTCCAGGAAATACAACCCAAGTCTTCTGTACATCCACATATCCAGACTCAATGCAATTTTCTAGCTGCTTGATCGATCATCATTCAGGTCTCTGCAACATATAGCAGGGTTGAGGGTTGAGTAAACATGTCCTACACTAAATTCCAACCCAACCTTGCAATGCTGCAGACTATGATCTTCTCTTGGGCCTCTCTTGATGTCTCATTGATCCGATCTGGCTACCTGAGGAATTTTCCTTCTCCTTGGCTTCTCGAGCTGCCTTGCGCCTCTCAATCTGTTTCCTGTGCTCTCTTTCCATGTCTCGTTCACTTATTCCCAGGTGAAGTGACTGTGGAGAGAAAACACAATGTATCAGTGAAGTGACTTCGGAGGGAAAACACAATGTATCTGTGAAGTGACTTCGGAGAGAAAACACAATGTATCAATAAAGTGACTGCAGAGGGAAAACACAATGTATCAGTGAAGTAATTGTGGAGGGAAAATACAATGTATCAGCGCCAATGGAAATCTAGTCCAGAACAACTTGCGGTACAACTCACATTTGTCACCCCATCCCCTTAGGTTGTGTGATGGAGATAGTATGCATATATGAGACAGTATGAGTAATGAAGACAGTATGCATATATGAGACAGTAGAAGTGATGAAGGCAGTAAGAGTGATGGAGAAGTATGCATATATGAGACAGTATGAGTTATGGAGACAGTATGACTGATAGAGACAGTATGAGTGATGGAGACAGTATGATTGATACAGACAGTATGAGTGATGGAGACAGTATGATTGATGGAGACAGTATGATTGATGGAGACAGTATGAGTGATGGAGACAGTATGCATATATGCGACAGTATGAGTGATGGAGACAGTATGAGTGATGGAGACAGTATGATTGATGGAGACAGTATGAGTGATTGAGACAGTATGATTGATGGAGACATTATGAGTGATGGAGACAGTATGAGTGATGGAGACAGTATGAGTGATGGAGACAGTATGATTGATGGAGACAGTATGATTGATGGAGACAGTATGAGTGATGGAGACAGTATGATTGATGGAGACAGTATGAGTGATGGAGACAGTATGATTGATGGAGACATTATGAGTGATGGAGACAGTATGATTGATGGAGACAGTATGATTGATGGAGACAGTATGATTGATGGAGACATTATGAGTGATGGAGACAGTATGATTGATGGAGACATTATGAGTGATGGAGACAGTATGATTGATGGAGACAGTATGAGTGATGGAGACAGTATGAGTGATGGAGACAGTATGATTGATGGAGACAGTATGAGTGATGGAGACAGTATGATTGATGGAGACAGTATGACTGATGGAGACAGTATGAGTGATGGAGACAGTATGAGTGATGGAGACAGTATGATTGATGGAGACAGTATGATTGATGGAGATAGTATGAGTGATGGAGACAGTATGATTGATGGAGACAGTATGAGTGATGGATATATTATGAGTGATGGAGACAGTATGAGTGATGGAGACAGTATGAGTGATGGATATTTTACGAGTGATGGAGACAGTATGAGTGATGGAGATATTACGAGTGATGGAGACAGTATGAGTGATGGAGATTTTACGAGTGATGGAGACAGTATGAGTGGTGGAGATATTACGAGTAATGGAGACAGTACGAATGATGGAGACAGTATGATTGATAGAGACAGTGCATATATCAGACAAAATGAGTGATGGAGACAGTAAAAGTGATGGAGATATTACGAGTGATGGAGACAGTACGAATGATGGAGACAGTATGCAAATATGAGACAGTATAAGTTTGACATGAGTGCTTGAGAGAGTATGTATAAATGAAACAGTAATAGGACAGTAAGTAAACATGAGACACTTCGAGTTTTGTATGTGACTGAGAGTGATATATAAATGAGATAGAATGCATAAATCAGAAAGTATGTATAAATAAGACTGCATGTATGAATTACACAATATGTATAAATGAGACTGTGTATAACAGATAGTGCAGTGGCTAAAAGCTCACAATCAAATCTAAAGGTCTAGGAGTCAAATCTGCAATAAGGCAGACTTTTTTTCTTCTAATTAACCCTGACTTCCAGGTCAACTAAGCCCAAAATTGGTACCAGGTAATGTCCGAGGAAGTAAGCGGGGCTGCGGTTATGCTGACCATTTAACCCACTGAGTGCTGATTGGTTTTAGTAGAAATGTGAGTCATAAAAAAGGTTTTTATACTTCACTTTTATAATGTAAGGAACCTAGACTACAATGTCATTTAATGATCATCGTCCGTCAGACACCAACCAGATGATTCTTCTTCTTAGAGTTTACGGCTGTAAACTCCGGCAGAAAGTTTTGGTTTTGAGTTTTGTCTGCACAGACGATTTACAGATCTGGATTTTTTTAACGCAAACTGTTGGTTCCTTGCCTCTCAGACAGATACACTCCAACTTTGAAGGAAACACCCCTAATTAGTTGCCATTACAACTCATGAACTCGGGCCCAGAAAGAGAGTAACTTCCCTTGCCATTCATTCCTGGCCGTGTCGAAGAGCCTGTCCTATGTTGTGGGAGTGTCACAATAGTGAGTTGTTTCGGTTGCCTCACGCGACATGCTTGTTAGGGGAGCAGTGGCTCTATTCTTTGATTGTTCTCAACAACAACAACAACAAAGCGGAGAACCCACATGGGAAAACCAGATATTTGAATACCACACTTACATGTTAAGTATTTTTCTACAGATCCACCACTCAGAACAATGGAAATACTAATAACTTTGCACTTACTTCTCTAAACAAGAAGTCCTCATCTTGAAGTTCTGGGGGTAGTTTCCTGAGTCGCAATCTCTCAAGTGTTTCATACATTGTGGGACACTGCGACAGATTGTCCTGTCCTTCCAGGGCAACTTTCAACAGCACCAGCCCAGTACGGAACAAAACCTTTACTCCTGCAAACAAAGAAGATAATGTTACTACAGGGTTCAATCATTCTTCTTCCCTTAAAAGGCCAGGTGGCACATTCTACTGTGGTTTACAATTGGGCTGTGAAATCTGGGTCTTTCTGCCCAACAGAGTCAGAAGTTCTAAAAATTATTCATGACAATTCCCACCCAGGTGATGTGATTATCTATACAGATGGCTCAGATGAAGTGTATAGGGGTTCATAGAAAAAGGTTTTTGACATCACCTGGTGCAGAAAAGCCTGGCATTTATCACATCTAGTTTGAGTATGGAGGTGGAGGTGGTCACTGCTGGCTTCAAAATCAGCTGTACATACATGCGTGATTTAACTGACTCACAGAGCATGTTGAGAAAGATGGAGATAAGCATGCTAAGTGCAGAGTGGCAAGCATCACTTCAGAGGTCCCGGTTAGTTAGCATCCTTGGGATATTTTCTCCATGTTATGAGGGTGTGTTGGAAAATGAGCAGGCAGATAGACTGGCCGGTTCTGCACCACTTGGTGGTAAACTGATCTATGACAAGCTAGATGTTGTAAGGGCCCTTTGGGAGCAAGTGAACAGTGCACAGGCATAGACAGATCATTGCGGTCTGAGGATAATGGCACTGCGAGCAGTTACAAGGGGATCTGGCTGACACTCAACACTCAGGGGAAAGGCGAGACAGATGTACAATCAGAAAGTTACTGGAATCATCGGAACTGAAACTCTTAGCTTGCTGCTGAAGATAGGGATGGAGCGCTTATTATTCAGTAAAAGGAAAAATTATTTCAAGAAATTATCAATTTATTACCTTCACACAGAAACTGATCCCATAATCTAAGTACAACGGTCCAGGGTAGAGTCCGGGTGTAGACACACATAAACCACTCGGTCATGTACAGAATGGGCTCAACATGTTGCTTTTTCTGAAACAGATCATCATCACACATGTAAAACAAAGCACACAAACCAGAATGTGTCACTTTACAGGTCACTCTCAACCCCAGGTCAAAGTATGAGCTGTAATGAACTAGAGGTGATGTCAAAACTAACGGTTGGAATTCAGTCAACAAGATGGGTTATAATACAGTCAAAAATATGTGTTAACATGACTTATACATTAAAAGTGAGATTGAAAAAGCTATCAGCTACAAATCAATACTACTTTGGAATACCACAGAAGTTTATTATCATGACCAAACTACGTATGGAAGACACTTGTAATAGAGTAACATATAAAGGCAGAAAGTCAGACCCTTTTAAAAAAATATCTGGTTTAAAGCAAGCTGATGCTCTGTCCCCACTTTTTTCAACTTGGCCCTGGAGAAAATTATAAGGAAATTGAAACAAAGGTGTACTATAGGAGAATCTACAAGAATACATGCAGATGACATTGATATCATTGGAGAAAATTAACTAGAGACTATTGAAACACTGACTCTTTTAAAAGAATCAGCTCAGAAAATGGGACTAGTTATTAAACAAGATGGGACAGAATACATGATAATAACTAGACAGGAAAAGAATATAAACTCCTGCCACATACAAATCGATAATATGAAAATCAAACGAACGAAAATATTTAAGTACTTGGGTGCAAACTTCAACTGCTCCAACATGCTGAGAAAAGAAATACAATCTAGACTTAAAAAAATTTTTTTTTTTAAAGTTAAGGACCTTTTTCCACACCTTTAGACATATAGGGCTAGACCTAAATTTTATAGACCAATCAGCACAAGATGGGTGATGTGGTCAGCATCACGCCGGCTGCCTTTACTTTCCGGGACTGCACCCGGTACCCACTCAAGGCTGGATCGACCTGAGAGCCAAAGTCATTTGAAAAAGTCTGGTTTCGCCAGGAAGCGAACCCACGACCATCTGATCTGCGGCAATCGTCTAGCCACTCTGTCGCAGCAACTCCCTGCACAATCTAGAATACAATCTGGAAATAAAGTATACTATACCTTTCCACATCTGCTAAAGCCAAAGCATCTGTCTCGCAACACCAAGATAAAAATATATAAAACCTTGATAAGACCAGTCATTTTTTATGGCTCTGAAACTTGGAGCACAACTAAAAGAGATGAAGCCTTATTACAGGTTTTCGAAAACAGAGTCTTATGATGAATCTTTGGACCTATCAAAGATGAAAACAGCGAGTAATGGAGAGTAAGAAGCAACAACGAAATTCATAATCTGTTTAAATCACCATTAATCACTGTCATCATGAAAGCTAATAGACTTAAATGGTTGAGGCATATTGAAAGAATGTCAGATGACAGAGAAACGAAAACTGTATACACAAGGGTGATAAATGGTTGTAGACCACGAGGCAGACCAAGAAGACGATGGAGAGATAATGTCCAGACAGACCTGCAAACACCTGGTATCACCAACTGGAAAGAGAGGGCCAACTATAGAGATTAATGGAGACGGGTGTTATCTGCGGCAATGAACCTCAAGGGCTCTAAATGCTGAAGAAGAATAAGAAGAAGAACTGTTCTTCGACATTAGGATGAGTGTCATTCTGAGATTCCAGCCTCACTATGTAATATTCTTATGTAAAGAACTGGCTATAGTGCAGCCAACCTTCATAGTGAAAACTGCATTTTGTTAAAGTATGGATTTAACATGAAGTTAAAAACTACAGATTTAGCATAAAATTGTATCAAGCAGATCTATCTAACACTGCTGAAACCTACCCTATACCCCGTACCTTGGGAGCAAGTCAGTGATACAATACAGATAATGACTTCAGTCAATGGATTCACAACTGGAGATGAGTCCAATGATCTTCAAAAACGAACAGCTGCTCTTAGCATGATTCAGGAAAACTATCCTAAACAGTCATGGATACACGTTTACAAGGATGGATCAGCAACCAGTGCGATTAAAAATGGGGGTGCTGGCGTCTTCATTACATACCCAGGCAACTACCACCAAACAAAATGTATACCCACTGATAAATTCTGTTCCAACTACACAGCAGAGATCATAGCACTAGAGCAGGCTGCCGAAATGTTACATAACACCAATTCTGACTGCCACCAAGCGGCTATAATCACAGATGCGCTATCGATGCTTCAAGTCCTCAAGATTGGCAAACTTCCTTACCTGAGATCTGAACTTGGCATGGTGGCTGCCCAAAAGCGTAGTGTACTCCAGTGGGTGCCATCCCACTGTGGTATACCAGGAAACAAAACCGCAGATAAACTTGCTAAGAAAGAGGCAGAATGTGACCAGGAAGAGAATGCAGTAGCATACTATGAGAAGAAAAGGGCCATCCCGGCTTTTAGAAGTGAACAGAGTCTGGCCAGAGATGACCACCACTTACTTGACTGGCATAGGCAGGTCATTATCCTACATCTCGGGACAGGACATAACAAACTTAACCAGCATATGCACAGGCTTCGTCTAAGTAGTTCACCTTGTGGGCTATGTGTGCAGACTACAGAACATGTCCTGCAAGAATGATCCTTTGTTCAGCCTATTAAGAAGGGAATACTGGCCCAGTGAGTCACCAGTGCACGCAAAGTTGTATGGGACTAACAAGGAACTCATAATAACTGTCAATTTTATCACAAGAACCTGTCTGTGGGTGTAAATCAGAAAGCGAACACAAGAAGAAGAAAAGCATAAAGTTAAAAACTATGCGTTAAGCACAAAGTTAAAAACTATGGGTTTAACATGAAGTAAAAACTATGGGTTTAATATGAAGTAAAAACTACTGATTTATCACACTGTAAAGGAACTGGTTTTTTTATGAAGTTTTGGCAACAGTGTCTGCTTTGACTGTAAAGCCCAATGAGGCATTCTGAGGCTGCTTGTCTCTCAGACGTCTCCTCTATACCTTGCTACATTTGGCCTCTTGCAAACTGCGTCAGATCGTCTTTAGCAGCTCTTAGCTCTAACACAGTTATATCAGCTTACTGTTACAAGAACAAAAACATTTTCCCATGTGACTGATCTATATACAATGAGAAGAGGAGAAGCTTCAAATTGTGTACAAACCAAAAATACATACCATATGTTTATATATAGAAGGGGACGTTTTCTTCACAAGGCCAAACAGGACATCACCGTCTAATTGTATGGCTTCCTGTAATATAAAATGTATTCAAATTGAATACTGCATGATGGTTATGTCAGTTTTGTATACTCGCTATGTCACAACCACCACACTCTTTATGCTACGACCATCACACTCTTTTGGCCACAACCATCACACTCTAGGTCACAATCATCACACTCTTTATGTCTCAGCCATCACACTCTTTATGTCTCAGCCTTCACATTCTTGATGTGTCAGCCATCACACTCTTTATGTCACAACCATGGAAAGACATCCCAGTTTGTGGCCCACAGAAGATTAAGCACATAACCACAGATCGCTGAAGCAGCAGAAGAAGAAGCAGCAGAAGAAGAAGCAGCAGAAAAAGAAGCAGCAGAAGAAGAAGCAGCAGAAGAAGAAGCAGCAGAAGAAGAAGCAGCAGAAGAAGAAGCAGCAGCAGAAGAAGAAGAAGAAGAAGAAGCAGCAGCAGAAGAAGAAGCAGCAGAAGAAGAAGAAGCAGAAGAAGAAGCAGCAGAAGCAGCAGAAGAAGAAGAAGAAATGAGCCATACTTACAAGACCAGGACTGTAATATCCAGTCAGGTACTTGTCACAGATAGCTACAAGGCACCAGAATGCCTGTTCGGCTGGCATGTGCATGAGGAGAAGGGCTGCAATAGGTGCTTGTGCCTGGCAGTAACCTTCCACTGGCCGATGGATTGAGTACGCCTTCAGCACTTGAAACAACGCTTCTTGCCTGAAACAAAAGACAATTAAATCTGATCTGAGACTGGAATTCTTCTCTTCAACTTCTTTTATTCACTGACATTATCAATATCATTCCTGCTGCCTTTACTTCCTACAGCATTTTTAATACCAGTTTTATATTGCTGACATGAAAGCTCTATGTGTTTCCATATGTCTCTGGTCTGCATTTAATCCATTTACCCTGCAGGTTCCAGAAAGAAAACTGCTGATAGAGACGTCTGGCGATCTCTCTGGCAAACCTCTACACCCCAAGGTAGAAGAGGAGCGACTAAGTAAGTACTAAGTAAGTAAGTACCCTGCAGGTTCCAGTGCAATACATTCTAGTTATACTGTTACCAGATTTTCTCACAGTGCATGTCCTATCCAACAGCAGCTATATTTCTTCACCTCTTGAATCTTGGAATCCGTTCAGTTATCTCTCAAAGATCTATATTAGTGATTACATCTTATCACTTCATTCTATTCAGTGCAGGCACCAATTATCAAACGTTTGCAGTTTATCAGTAACTGTCCTGAGAGCTGATTGGTCTTCTTCATAGCCTTTATAGGTTGCAACTCCAGCAGAAAGTTCTGGTTGTTCATCCACTTCTGGACTTTGGTTTTGTTTCAATACTAGAATATTGCATGCATATCCATTTTTCAGATCTGGCTTACTTGTATGCGGACTGCTGGTTCCTTGACTTTTAAGCAATGCACTCCAAATTCAGAGGAAGCTGACTGGTCTAAAAAAATATATATAGCTAAGGTAAAGGTAAAGTCGGGAGATATGAACCAGCGTAATTGCACACGGTTATAAACCATAAGTGCTCTGCCACCAGTACAGACAGCTGATAAGAAACTGTCTGCCTGTGTCGCCGTCCGCATGCAACTCTGTAGCTACAGCGGTGTTCCTCCATTTACCCCAGAGTGTTAACTCTGGTACCCATTACCTTGGTGAACCCCAGGGGACTGCCCGGTTTCGAACACCAGCCCTGGGCTGCAGAGAGTCGCAGCTGCATTTGAAAGCGAGCCTCCTATCGATTGCGCTAACGCTATGTGTCATATAACCCAACAGGCCAAACGAACAGAATAAGGACCTTTAAATTATTTCTGAATTTCAAATGATATTTCCACTTACCCAACACCTCCTTTTGATAAAAACATCTCATGCAAAGGAAACTGCCTGTCCAGATCCTTACGAATATCATCAATACATTTAGGGTCTCCCGAAATCTTCAGATACTCCTGCACACAAAACATTATCCATTAAATCAGGCTGTAGTTCAGTAAAGCCATTCTTCTTCATGTGAGGGAGTAAATGCATTGTGTCTGTTTACTACATGGCTATATTTGCACACTTCCGTGGGCATTTCGTTGCCAGGTTAGCCTTCCCGAGGAAAGGGGATTCTTTAAAAAGACATATTCCTTGGGTAGACAAATTTCGACAGAAGGGACTGCAACTGTCTAGACAGCAACTAAAAAAAAGCTTTCCCAAGAAACAGAATTAGTAATTTTTGGTGGGGAGAAATCGATACATAGGGCAACTCAATGTCCATGCAAAAATACCTAACCAAAAATGGATTCCACCACTGTGGGAAATCGCCAGATAACACCCTGACTGGGTCTCACATCTAGGATAGGTTTAAAGTAAGGAACCTAAGAGACCTTGAGCTACAGTCCCAGTTTATGGTCCAAAGTTGCTTCAGAGTCTGACGAGAAAGAGATCACGAAAGAAGAAGAAATGAACATACTGTTATATCTTGTTTAACACTTGAGTGTTGAATTAAAAATCGGCATCACAGCATTCGGGACACTTCCATAAGTGCTCCGGCCCATCTTCAGCAGCAAGGAAAGAGTTCCAATTCCGATGGTACTAGTGACTGTCCGATTGTACATCTGTCTCACCTTTCCCTTCAGTGTTCAGCGTCGGCCCGATCCCCTGGTAACTCCTCCCAGCACCAATCTCCTCAGACCGTAATGATTTATTTGCGCCATCTCACTGTTCACTTACTCTCAAAGGGCCCTCACAACATCTAGCTTGCCATACATCAATTCACCACTAAGAGGTACAGAACTGGCCAATCTGCCTGTCTGCTCAGAGGATGCCTGTCTCCACCTTTCTCAACATACTCTGTGAGCGAGTTACAATTTTTACAGGTGTGTACAGCTGATTCTCAAATCGTTGCAACACTGCAAGGTTATAAATACTGGTCCTTGGTTTTTTAGAATAAATACCACTGCAATCCCTGTATGATCTACACATGTGTGTGTAGGGAAAGAATGTACAAGTTGAAAGCATCCTGTTCCTGTAGGGCAATCAGAACTGAAAGGGGGTTGTTATCAGTATCATACCAGCCAGCTTTACCTACCCAGGACATGGGAGTCTGTCTCAGTAACAGCAAATCTACCTGGTACTGATTTGAACCCAAGACCTTCAGAGTGACAAGCAAGCATACAATCACCACGATAATGCAGCAAGGCACATAGGTGAACACAGGATACTGAAGATACTATAGGCATAAATATACAGGAAGAGGCAAGGGACATGCGTTAGTTTTTTTTTTTTTTTTTTTGGGGGGGGGGGGGGGGGGAACAAGTCATTTAATCATTACAGATGTGATGTTCTGCAAAGGACCTGCTTCATAATGATGATTATACATCATCTGTACTTGTACCACATCCAACCTACTTACCTCAGAATATCTACAGTATGTTCTAAGGAAGGAATCTTAAACAAATCTTTGTTTAAAGTGTCAAAATAAACTGCATTAGCCAAAGAAAAAAGCAATGCAAACTGATATAACCTTACCATATTAATAAACAAAGACACTGTATTGATCCTTACTCACAGAAAGAGGTAGAAAGATAAAAAGAACACACTAGATAACATAACAATCAAAAGCTATAGTTAACGTAACATAACATAACCCTTGACCCATTAGGGTCATGGAGGTGTATTGATGGGAGCACTAGTACATAAAACCCGCCATCTTTCTCTGTCTTCTACTTGATGAATAAGTGTATGATAACTTAGTCCTGTCCTTTTTTGAAGCTGTCATTCCAGTTTCTTCTTTGCCTTCTTCTTCATCGACTACCCCTCCAATATTCCTTGAAGTACAGTCTTTGCAATCGAATCATGTCTCACCACGTGCCCAAACCAAGCTAGCTTGTGATGTTTCACCACTGACAAGAGAGGTTCCTGATGTCCCGCAAATTTGTATATTTTGTCTCTGACATATTTATTAGTTTTGTGTTCTAAATAACTAATTCGTAAAATGTGTCTTAGCCTTTACATTCAAAAGCCTGAATCCTCCTTTCCATTTCCACAGTGAGAGTCCAACTCTGACACCTGTATAAGAAAACAGACGACACCAGCGATTTGTAAATATTGCCTTTGACTGCGATGCTGATTTTGCGCTTCCACATCATATTTAGCTGTGACATCGCGGCTGTTGCCATATCACGTTATAGTTACAGTGCTGGGAATCGAACCTGTCATCTCTAAACTAGGCACCCCCTTTTGGAGTGCCTAGCTGACCATGTTCTTAGTGCACTTGTTTCCATAGCGAGGCCCACACACTATCTTGAGGTGACAGGCTTGATTCTCGGCAAGAAACTATAAATGGCTTTAGATTTTTTATGCTGTCTAGTGTGTCCTTCTATATTTCTACTTCTTTTTATGAGTGCTGATCAATACATTGTCTATTTGTTTATAAATACAAAATTAATAGGCCTCAAGGGTTCCCTCTCTGATTGATTGGCACCTTTCCAGACGATAGTGTTTTTTGCGCTATGAGGAGGCATGGGACTCAGTCCATGGAGATGGCGAGTGTAACTAGCAAGACCCGCCTGTGTCACAGCCAGGGATGAAGTTCATCCTCTCCATAGCACACAGCCTGGGCAGTATTGTAGAAACCATGTTTCTCATGCATCATGATCCCTCTCTTAACCTGCTTTGTTTACTCTGTTCATTTATGTGGATAACCTTATCAACATCCTTGCTTTTTTTTTAAGGATTTAGACCAGGCATTTTTAAACTGAAAACAGATGTAATACTCTTTCTAAGCCAATCAGTCTTCACCCCAACCCCTGACTAAGCCACACAAAAAAAAATAACTGACAGTTTTCTTCTATCAGTGATAGGATAGGCAAATGAACAGGCAGGTTCTGCACCTTGTGGTGATGCACGAATACATGACAAGCTAGATGCTGTAAGGGTCCTTTGGCAACAAGTGAATAGTGCAGAAGTAAAAACAGATCATCATAATCTAAGGAGAATGGTGCTGTGGGGAGTCACCACAGGATCTGGCCGTTGCTCAAAACTCAAGAAAAAGGTGAGAGGGTATACAATCAGACCGCTACTGGTGCCATCGGAACTGGAGATCTGCACTTGCTGCTGAAGATCGGGATAGAGGGTATATGAGAATGTCCCAAATTATGTGATCTCAATTCTTAACTAAACATTCACCATTCTATTTGCCATGGCTTTCTTTTGCCAAGGCTACATTTAGATCATCTTGACCAGACAATCTGGTTGTGCATAGTACCCTTAATATTCTCCTGTACAAGCATAAGACTCACCTCAAATACTCCCCTGTTTTGTTCTAAGACAAAATGGCTCCCACATAAATGCTGCCATGCCCTGGCTCTCAGTGATGGGGGCACACCTTTTCGGCATCGTTCTTTCACCTGGTACATAAAGAATAATTGTCTTGATTCTGAGTTAGGGCAACATCTGATTTTAAAAAAAAAAAACGTATGTTAAACTGTTGACAGAAACATATCAAGAGGTAAAGGACCCTTTTCCACGCATTAATGTGTACTGGGCATATAGGGCTAGACCTATATTTTATAGACCAAACAGCACTGAGTGGCTGATGTGGTCAGCATCAGGAATACATGTTTACCTGGTACCCAATCAAGTTTGGGTCATCCTGGGAGCCAAGGTCATTTTTTGAAAAAAGTCCGACCCTTGTTAGGAACTGAACCCACGACCTTCCGATCCGCAGGTGACCGTCTAGCCGCTAGACCAGGGCGGCTCCCATATCAAGAGGTAACCACAAAAAATGGCCATACTTCTTATTTGGTGATAAATGCTTGCTACGTGTCAACTCTAGTATGGGTCAAAAACAGGACAGTGTGCTTGAGCCCTTTAATTAGGCTCAAACTGAGCTCTTTAATTAGGCTCAAACTGAGCCCTTTAATTAGGCTCAAACTGTCACAACATCTATGGGGCCAGACTTTCATTCTCTGATTGGCAACCTAAGACACGTCCTAGTTTGTTTTTGTGCTGACATTCATGACTGGCAGAGGCAGTGCGGTCTAGTCAATATAAGTGTGCTTTCAGGTTACAGTGCTATATTAGGAGTGAAAATTATGGTCTGCATGTTTGTCATAGTTACGCTAGTCTGTAATTTTCACACACACACACACCCCCCCCCCCATTAAATTACAAAGATGCTTTAGGAGTTTTCTTTGCCCCTTTAAATAATAAAGTGGTTTAACAAAATTTAAACAAAATTGGTTTTAGCTTTAATAATACAAATAAACTGATCATGACCAGTTAATATAGTTAAAAAAAAAAAATATAGCACTGATAGAGAAATCTCACACAATAGTTATGAAAACACAATGGAAAGAAAAATGTAATAAAGACGCTGCCGACGCTCAACACTCAGGGGAGGGATGAGACGGATATACAATCAGACAGTTACTGGTAACATCGGAATTGGAACTTTTAGCTTGCTGCTGAAGATGGGGATGGAGTACTTAAGGGAGTGTCCCAAGTGCTGTTATATCGATTCTTAATTCAACATTCAACTTCCCCAGACTTTCACCTCGTACCCATTTAAAGCTGGGTTGACCTGGGAGCCAAGGTCATTTTTGAAGGAGAAAATCCAGCTCAATGTAGAATCAAAGACTGCTACATACAAAAATGCAATCAAAGACTACAACACCACAACTCGTAACCATATACAACTACACTTATATAAATAACCAGCTTTTTTTTTTACGGCAAAGACAAAACAGTATTAAAAGTCTATGGTTAAGCACTAGCAATGATAAAATCAAAATTATGAAAGCATTATCACCCCTGTAGTAACAATCAAACGTCTTCTTCTTGTTTGTGTTTGCCGGATGTAAACTTCAGCAAAAGGTTCTGAGGGTTCATTCACTTCTCGGCTTTAGTCTTGCTGCAGAACTTTAATTTTGCATACACTTTTGCATACATATTAGTTTTACAGATTGGGCTTATTTTTATGCAGACAGCTGGTTCCTTGCATCTCGGGCGGAGGCTTCCCGACTTCAAGGGTAACTCCCATAATTTGTCAACTTTTACAATGGGAGCAGTAGCTCTATTCCTGTTTCCTCCACAACAGGGAACCGGGACCAACACAGGGAACACACGGATGTGGCAACAAAGATGCTATTACCTTCTTAAATCTCTTGGACATCCATTTGTCCCAGTTGATGAACATGTCTAGCCATTTTGTTTCTCGCTTTCTCAGTTTGTCTTGTGGTAGTCGCCTTTCCCTGTCATTCAGAAAAAAAAACATAGTACAACTAATTCTTTTTGTTTTTCTCCCCTTTATCTTCTAATGGAAAGAAACATCTCATACACAGGCATAATTATTCCAACCCTATGCTAACAGTGCCAGACCTGCTCACTGACAAAAAAAAAAAATTAGTAGAAATGAAAATTAAATGTCTGAAAAAAGCTGCAGGAGTGACCAGAAGAGATGGAATCAGGAATCTTCTTCTTCACGTTCAACAGCTGTAAACTCTGGCAAAAAGTTTTGTTTGTTCATCCACTTCTGTTCCAGAACCTAAGTGTTGCGGGTGCATCTGTTTTACAGATCTGACTTATTTGTATGCAGACTGCTGGTTCCTTGTCTCTCAGGCAGATGCACTCCAACTTTGAAGTAAGCTCCTAACAGGTCGACTCTTACTTCCCTATAATAAGGCCCACGAATCCACACGGGGTGAGGTCATAAGAGAAAAATTCAACAAAGAAACAATTCTAAATTAAGACTTAAGTTTGTAGACTTAAAGAGATTTCCTTGTGATGACATACTATACAAGGCATACACCAAAAGAGAAGATGGACAAAGATCACAAGGTAGTCCAAGAACAGTATTAAAACATGACATCAGAGAAACTATGCAACAAAATAATGTGTTTACAGTCAAGGCAGCCAGAAGAACAAGAAGCAGAACCTCATATCTCCCTCGACACAGAAGCTGTAAAAGAGGAAGTGAAGAAGATCTCCTAATGGAGCATAGGCCCTCAACCAACTCATGCCAATTTTTGAGGCATGTTCATGATTGGCTGAATTCTGCAACAAAAGATTTATATTCACTTTTTATTCACTACAGTGAATTTCATCCTTTGTAAAGATAGTTAAAAGTTAGTTGTGATTCCTTTACAGGATGTTGCAGAACCAACCCAAACATTTTTTGACAGTTGTGGTTTTTCTAGGCAAATTTACATCCAGTAGTTTGCCATTGCTTTCTGGACGGTCAGCTCTTGATACCACTGTCGAAACTAATGCAAGGCCTGCAGCTGGGATCGAACCCGGCATTCCAACATTATGAGGTGCGTACAGATAGTACCTTTGACAAATTCTAAATGTAACAAGTGACGGGACCAAAAATTACAGCATCAGGAGAGCCAGTGCTAAACTATATCAAGAGACAACAGATATAATGGCTCAGACATGTGTCAAGACTGCACCACAGAGAGCCCTATCGATCAGACAATGAATGCATAGCTAGTGGTCACCCAGTAAGTGATGGATGGATGAAATATCTGAGGTTGTGAAAACCAACGCTCGAGCGCGCGCACACTCTCTGTTCGTATCAGGTCCCCCTTAACAAACTGAAGCTGGAAGGCAGGACAAGATGAGAACAGGAAGACTGCAGCTGACTGATTTACTGAACACAATTAAATAAAAAACAACCAACTTTTTTCAAAACCATCCCAGAATAAAGGGAATTCAATGATATGATAGAATCACTAATGTAGAGCTGTGGGAGCAAACTAGACAAGTTCCAGTGGACCAAGAGGTGAAGAAAAGATGCTGGCACTGGATAAAACATACATTGAGAAAAACATACCTAGAATGTCCTTGCACTGGAACCCACAGAGGCAGAGCAATAAAGGAAGACCCAAAAAAAAAACTAAAGAAGGGAGCTAGAAAGTGAAGTCAAAAAGATGGGAAAGACATGGAGAGTGTTGAATGCAATATCAAAGGATAGAACGATTTGGCGTGAGTTCTTTAAGGGCCTATGCTCCATGGGAGTTAGAAAGGCAGAAAAATCAGATGAAATCTGTTTGAATACCGCATTTTAAATGACAGTATGCCAGAATAATGATTGCACTAAACACACTTACATTTCAGGATCTGTGTACTGATGGCCACCAAGAAACCCATACCGATCAGTTGTGACAGATCTGCTAGAGTCTCCGATTTCTCCGTTTCTAAGGGCTTGGTGTTTTGGTGACCCCCCGTTACTTTTCTGCTCTGTTGGGGAACCTGGATCGCCCTTTACATGTACTGGGTTGGCCATAGCCATGGGCAGAATGATGACAAATACAGACACTGTTATCAGCTCAACATTTCAGTCCATTGTGATTCTTCTGCCTTGAAGTAATGTAGGTATTCTGTTGAGAAAAGATTATCAATGTTTAATTTCCTTTACAAAACATGGGGCTGGAGAATTGGCTATGGAAACAAACTTTCAGGTGTGCTGTGATATCTTGGTAACCTTATTAGATTCAGCTTCATAGCAAACAGGTCGTCCCATAGTTGTGCCAACGAAAATGTTTGTCGCAGTTCCTTGTGGAAAGATTGTCTCAGCATATGCACTAGCATACACGCGCATTAAAAGCATACGGTAGCCATCAGAAGTGCTAACACAAACAGTTTGACATTAGAAATGCAGATCATTATCGATGGTAGCAGAAGTTACCAACAGATCAGCAGTTGCACACGCGATCAATATTAATCACATAATAGCACCACCAATATTGTGACGACAGGCCACGCACCATTTTCTGAATCTACAGTTCACAACACCATGTTTGTCAGTGGAAAAACATTCCAAATGAAAACCGCAGTCACGGGGTCGCGCTATGCACTCAACTCGGTAGCTGGGCGACGAAACTATATCCTTTGTCTACAAATGGATCAAAAATGCAACGCCCACCATCTGGCAGAAGCAAAAAGTTTGCCTCGAAAAGAAACAGTGACCGTTCATGGCATCCATTTTGACCGGATGCTGTGATGTAAAGGTTATGTGGCCTTATTTTGTGTGTGGTGGGGGGGGGGGGGGGAACACCCCCACTGCTTCATAAAAAATATGTTGTAAACACCGACAAAGGATTTGCTGAAAGTGGATATCAGCTAGTTAGTTAATAGACAGATTATCCTCATCTGACAACTCCATAAGCACTTTGATCCCATTTCAAAATATCCCTCGGCATGTTGTGACTGAAAACACCGATTTTGTGTAGGTTGACTATTCTCCTTTGGCTACCTGTATAGTTTTCATGTTTGGCAACACCTCTTTTGACCTGAAGTTCTTGTAGTCTTTTGAGAGTTGCTGATTTAATGTCATCTCCTGAATCATCTTCTCATTCTTGAGAGCACTGAGAATGTCGGCCTGGTCCACTGCTTTTTCTGTACATGCCGTGGCCCTGCCAGCAAGCCAATCTGCTCATTTATTCCTTCTTATTCCTGTGTGGGCTTGCACAAAAATGAAACTTATTCCCATCAGACGAGCATTTTCTCAGCGATTCCAACTATTTTCTTAAAATTCATCCTGTCTCTATCTTCTTAAGCATGCTCATTGCCATCATCTCCATAGTTAGACTCCTTGTAATTGAGGCAAAAGTCCAGCTATCTTCTTTAACGGTTTCCCTCAAACCAGAACCGTGAGAGCCCATAAACTCTGCATGTGCCGAATGATAGATCCGTCAGTGTAAATAACTGCACCTCCATCAGCAGATTTTTCCAGAATTAGGGCCTGAACTGAGTTCACCACCAATGGGCCTTGTTGTCTGCAATCTCTATTCAGTTTTTTTAAGATTGAAAAAGATGTACATCACTCTGCTGGCATTCGTACCCATTTCTCCTGCGAAATCGGATGTGTTGGTCCAATAAGTGCAGATATCACAGCCACGAAGTAGATCACAACACAATGTGCTGACCGCCCATTAGGGTAATCACAAAAGAAGATGATGAGTTAGCTGCAGTATACCATATACAAGAGCTGCAGTAGCTGGTCTGCCAGATCAAAGGCTATGATTCATATCCACATCGAGTCAGATCTTCTTCAAGACTGACCTTGGCTCCCAGGTCAACCCAGCCTAAAATGGCTACCAGGTAATGCCCTGGAAAGTAAAGGTGGCTAGGGTGATGTTGCCTACATCACCCATCAAGTTCTAGTTGGTCTATTAAACATGTAGATCTAGAGAAGTGGTTTTCAACCTTTCTCATGTGGTACCCCAATTAAATATTTAGCATTGCAACCCCACACCCCCTTCCACTTTAAAATTAAGTGATTAAAAAAAGACAATAAGACACATCCCAAGCACTTGGAGAAACACATCCATATAAATAAAAGTGTCAAAGAACATATTATAGGCTTTTACTTTTACAATATAGCTTAACAAAACTATTGAATTTAAAATTAAACTGAAAACAAAGTTAGAAAATTATTACAAGTGCAAATGAACTCAATTTCACAACTGCTTTCACTCTCTTCTTCTTCTCTGCAATCAATTTCATATGCTGAGGTCAGACCATCAGCTGTGTTGCTTCTATGAACTCGCATGTCAGCTGCAGGTCAACAGGAGCACTTAACCTGATAAATAACGGTGCTCCGTGGCATTTAGAACACTGTTCCTCCAGCAGTGGTTCATGGAAATGCTGGAACTATTTTTGTCAAGCTTTTTCTTGATATAACAAATTAGGAAAGAAAAAGAGGAAATGCAGTCAGAACAAGTCATTATCCTCCACTTCAGAACGGGGCACAACGGATTATGTAACCACAAAATTCAAGATAGGTGTATCAGCCATGCACACCTAAAGGTAAAGTCGGGAGATGTGAACCAAAGCCACTGCACACGGTTATAAACCATAAGTGCTTTGTCACCAGTACGGAAAGCCAATAAGAATTTTCCTCTTGTGTTGCCGTTCGCATGTAACTGTAGCTACAGCAACGTTCCTCCATTTACCCGAGAGTGTCAACACTAGTACTCATTTCCTAAAGGCTGGGTGAACCCCAGGATCCGTCCGGTTTCGAACACCGACTGTGTGCTGCAGCAAGTCGCAGCTGGATTTGAAAGTGAACCTCTTATTTGCTGCGCTAACGCGACCCGCTGCACCTGTGGAAAGGTGCCCTAGTCAGCAGAGCATGTACTGCAGACTGCAGTAAATTTGAGACATTAAGTAAGTAAACCTTTTGGGCTGACAGAACAACAGTGGAACGTAAACTCTTTGGACCAGTGAACGAACCAACAACGATAGTGAAATTTATACGAGAGACAAAATTGCTGAAACAGACAACTTATTTCAGGTCAATGAAAGAAGAAGAAAAAGAAATGAAACTAACCTTAAGGTCGTGTTGATTGTATACCAGTATCTGTTAACTAAAAGAGCTTAAACTGATACCCTCCCTCCTCCTACACTAATTAGTGTAGGAGGAGGGTGGGTATCAGTTTAAGCAACTCATCACTTATAACAGGAACTTCTCATGATATGGTTTTCACGACAAAAGATAGTCAATGCTGAGGGGACTCTAGTCAATGCTGAGGGAACTCTAGCACTTTGCCATGATAAATTCGGTGTCAATCTAAAAAATGTAATTCACTGGAGGAAACTGCTGCTACCAGGTCAATTTGTCATTTGATCATTTGTGTTTCCGTTGTCAAAACTAGACTAGATAATCTAAGAAACATTTTTTTTAAATGACACAGTGCGATTTTGACTCAATTATTACTTGATAATAATCCTTGGCGTAGCCAACTTTTCACCGAACACATGACTCAGAAATATAAGTGGACAGAATCACCCAACTACTTCAACTAGTCACTCACTAGAGACCGTGGGTCGCTAGAACACAGTAGAACAGAACCAAAACTTTCCAGGACCTTAACAAACAAAACTTTGTAATTGTACATAACCTTGTGAATAGACCACTCCGGAGTCAGAAAAGAATAAATAAAACTTTATCAACATGAGAAAACTAACAAACACAGGTGACAATACATCTGTTTGAAATAAATCCAGCCATACCAGTGAAATGGTTCTCTTTGAATTGTAAACACGGCCAGCCCATCTCCACTTTCCGGAACTGAGAAAGAAGAACCCGTGCACATCCGGAAGTGGACATGTCTCAAGTTGGGGCCATTCCCAGGCGGGGGCTGAACCGTTCTGCTTTGGAAAGAACCTAAGAACCTCTCCCCGTATGGGTTCAATGGCCCCATGTTGAGCGGGGGGGGGGGGAGACCCACTGTCCCCTAACATGCATGTCGTGCAAGTCAACTAAATAGGGGGTGTTTCCTTCGAGGTTGAAGTACATCCGCCTGAGAGACGATGAACCAACAGTCTGCACAAATAACCCGGAACTATAAAACGGATTTGCACGCAAAACTAGAGTCCTGAAACAAGATTAAAGTCCGGAAGTAGACGATTAACCAGAACTTGCCCCTCGAGTTTACAGCCAGTGAACGCGAAGAAGATAATGAAAGAAACAAAATCACACAAACAAAATTTAGAACTAGTCAACTTCAGATTCCCAGAACCACAAACGGCAAGTACTTTTAAAAGAGCAACGGGTATCTCCCTGTTTTTTTTTTGTTTTTTTGTCCTTTTTTATCTTCTTGTGTATTTAGTTCTTACAGTAGTTGCTGGCACGTTGATTCGTGATTTGTAGCCAGGCTGCGATATTTTTGGCCTTTCAACCCAACAGATCCATTTCAGCAAACTCTTAGTTGCCCTAATGACATCTTTTTTGGGAGGATATACCCCCTCCCCCCCCCCCCCCACACACACACACACAGGGGAAAGCACGGAATATGAGATCTGCCACCGAGTCCCGGTTATTTTTTATTTTATTTTATTTGGATTAACAAACCGAAATATCTATACTTTAGAACGTAGCAGGAGCAACGGCGTATAAAATTAGCTCCACTGGTGGGCTGTGCACGGGTCATGAATTTATAGGGCTTCCTATCCTGTTCCACCTAATTCATCAAAGTGTTGGGGAGAAAGGGGGTTGGGGGGGGGGGAGATTTTAGGATTTCACATGGGCTCTTTTCAGTGCGTTGTATGAGGTGGTCTTCATTTCCTGAAAGTTATTCCTGATGCCATTATTCTATCTACAGCATTACTCTTCCTATTTCTTCAGCATGGCTGTCTGTGACAGTCGGTTCCGGGGAATTCTCCTCTAATTTAGAATAGTTTGACTTAGACAGTCGATGTTTTTAGGTTGTTTTTTTTTAAGAAGAAATACAACAGCTGGCAATGGCGAACCGAAGGACCGAACCCGAAACCTAACCTCAGCAAAAG